TTCAGGCCGTTACGGTCGCAAACTCGCAGTTGGGTCCCGGCTAAGTACCAAAGCCTACAGCGTTATGTCATCTCGACCGCCCCTGAATTCTATTCTAATCTGCATCTTTTATACAGACGGAGCGATAAATCTCGCCAATTCGACTAGGAACCGCGCACTCCGCTTTTGCCACGTATACTTCGGTGTTATTTACCTCAACTCCATTTTAAATGTTCTTTAAGGGTTCTTTTCCTGTTTGGTTCACAGCTGATTTAATTCGGAAAATCAAATCAAAAGACAAACTCTTTAAAAAATACAAGAAGTTTAAAACTCAATCTTGTCTTGAGGAGTATAGAAATATTCGGCGTGAAATTAAATTGGACACTAATATTGCTTATAAAAACTATATAGATAATGTCGAACGCAAATTAATCAACGACCCCAGAAAGTTTTGGATGTTTGTCAATAATAAACGTAAGGATATGAGTACTCCGGGTTCTATGTCTCTAGACAATGAACGCTTAGATTCACCACAAGAAATAGCGAACGCTTTTTCTAGTCATTTTTCAAAGTCTTATGTTCAATCTTCAGGTGGTTATCAGGGTCAGTCTTCAGACTCTCACATTTTTGCAGGTGTTAGTGTACGAACAATTTCTGAAAGTCAAATACTTAAAGCTATAAAGAGACTTAGACCGACGTTTTCATCTGGTGATGACTGTATACCTTCATTTTTTTTGAAAGACTGTGCCAATGTATTAGTGACTCCACTTCGGAAAATTTTTAATTTAGTAATTGATACGTCCGTCTACCCTGTAAGTTGGAAAGTTGGAAGAGTATGTCCCATATTTAAATCGGGAGACAAAGACAAGATTGAAAATTATAGACCTGTAACAATTCTGTCCAACATCTCTAAGGTCTTTGAATCTATATTATATAAACACATTTATTATAACGTGAAGAATATAATTTCAGATGATCACCATGGTTTTGTCGGCGGAAGATCAACTGCCACCAATCTGTCGTGTATCACTCATTACCTTGCCAAAGCCCTTGATAACAATTCACAAGTGGACGTTATATATACGGACTTTTCCAAGGCCTTTGATCGGGTGGATCATAAAGTATTACTGAATAAACTCAATAATTATGGATTCAGCTCTCCACTTTTGAGTTTAATTGATAGCTACCTTCAAGGCAGATTTAATTACGTGATGTATAGGGGTTTCATTTCACAAAAATTTATTGTAAAGTCCGGAGTCCCACAAGGTTCCAACTTGGGTCCTTTGTTGTTTTTACTATTTATTAACGACATAACAACTATCTTCAATATTCGTCTTTTGTTATTTGCTGATGATCTGAAATTATTCACTGTTATCAATTCTGCGGCTGATTGCATACATCAATTACAAGAGAATTTAGATCTTCTACAACAGTGGTGCCTGCACAATAAACTTAATCTCAATATCTGTAAATGTAAAATAGTTTCTTTTTGTCGGAAAGTGACTACTATTTCTTTTGATTATTCTCTAGGCGGAATTAATTTAACACGTTGTTCTAACACTAAGGATTTAGGTATATTATTCGACTCCGAACTCAATTTTAATCTGCACATTCGGAATAATGTTGCATCTGGTTTTAAAACGCTAGGATTTATCATAAGATCTTGTAGGGACTTTAATTCGCTGAAGTGTCTTAAATCCTTATACTATGCATGTGTAAGATCAAAGTTGGAATATGACGCATTAATTTGGTCACCTTATTACAAAAAGTACGAAGAGAGTATTGAATCCGTTCAAAGGAAATTTTTAAAATATCTATGGTTTAAAGAAAGTGGTTCTTATCCCGTTCAGGGAATTGATAACCGTATTCTGTGTAACGCTTTTAATTTTACATCCCTTTTCGACAGACGAACACAGTATTTTGTTGTATTCTTACATAACCTCCTGCATAATAAAATCATATCGAACGAATTGATCTCATCGATATCCTTTAATGTGCCACTAACAAATTTAAGATCTTTCAGAACATTCTACATACCTAAAGCGTCAACTAATATCTTATTCCGGTCGCCTATTTATAAAATGTGTGATACTTTCAACATGCTAATGAATAACTACGATATTCACTTGATTAAAAAAAAAGATATTATGATTGAATTACGCAAACACTTCTGCACAAATACACTTAGACAGTTCTCTGTATGAGATGGGTGTGATTTTCAGCACTCTTGTGTTGTCTCTGCCTTAATTATATTGTATTTCTGTTCTCTTTTTCATTTCATTTGCGCTGTCTGTGAATGGTGTGAATTGTATTGTTTCTGTTCATATATTTCCGTTTTGCTATTTTGTAGACCCTTTAAGTGGACTTTAGTCTGTTGGGTCTTTATAATAATAATAATAAAATGTTTAATTTCTATGACTCTGATATTAACGACAACTAAGCAAGGGTTAAAGCAATAAACAACATTTAAATTCGCCATACAATCTTGTCAAATTTTAAACAATACATAATTCTTATGTGAAATTAAAATTGGATGTCAGATAACTTACAGGATGGAAACATTCATCAACAAAATATTTACAAAACAAAAACTAGCAAAGATTTATGAAAACAAAAGATACGGTGTGAAATAAACTTGTGTAGGTAAAATATTACGTGAGGTTAAAACTGTAGAGCATGTAGGTTCAATTTAAATTATACAACGAAGAAAATTACTAAAGTTAAAATTGTGAAATAGAGAAATATTGTATGAGTTGAAAAATTGCAAAACTAACAAATTTACATGGGATTAATATTTGCCACACTTTATCAACGATTCAACAAAGAGTTTACATTATGTTAAATTATGTCTTGATCCAAGTGATTGGTTACTTAAAAACAATTAGCTTTGACAGTTTATAATATAGCGAACTGCTTTACGCCAAACAAAATACATAATAAATAAACACAAAAAATATCCAGTCATCGTTGCGAGGGAAAAGCGTCTCGGTGATGTAAATTTTAGCGTTGGGAGGAAATGCCCCGGTGGTGTAATCAATCTTTAACGTTGCGAGGTGATGTAGTGATGATAACGATGATAATAACGAGGATAACTGCCTAAGGGAAGAAATTATTTTAACCCCCCCTTAGCTAGTTCACGATATAATGAATTTTGTTAATTTAACTGCCGTAAATGAACTATTAGCAATCTTGTGTAAATAATGAAGAAGTGTTATAATGTAACACTTAAGTATTAGCAGCCGGAAATCTCATTCATAACTTATAAACAAAGAGTGTTATCCTGACTAAGTGAATTTCATCAAATCTCCTAGTAAATGTCTTTCTAAGCAAATCTAATGTCTGTTAAATTGTGTTAGAACCAGTTAACGATTAAAACCCTAATCTGATCAGTGAATTAACAAACAATAAAACAAATTTACAGCACGTGTAGCGTCGGTCGAAAATGAGCACTTTTCCGATTAGAAAGCCGCAAGAATTAGCTGCGCGGGTTGGGGAAAACTGAGCGCCATCGTTACGATTACTTTTGGTTAAACAAAGGCTTCCTCCCTTTTCTTAACTACCAAACCAACTATTTTAACCTAGCTAAATCACAAAGTCTTTTCACCATGCTCACACAACACCGAAGCAAACAATAATGACGCTTGTATAAAGTGGTATAAAATCAAAACCAGAACTTTCGTGAGAGTTGCTCTCTAGTGGACACGTACCCTAAAGATGAATGTTTTAGGAGATATTTCAAACAATTTTCAGGACAATACAGAGGTATAATGATAATAGTCATCGTTTTTGTTATTAAGAGACAGTTTTGTGGCAAAAAAATAACATCAACTCAAAGCCAGGAATTCATTTTTGTATCGTAAAGTTATGGCTCCTAAACGAAACTCACCACAAAAATTCTCGAGTAATGTAAAACTTAAGTTTTGTAGCGCTTAAGATTAGAGTGATTTTGAAGTTTCAAATTTCGCGCTAGTGGTGCACTTTTCATCGAGTAGATTTAGTGACTTTTCTGTCACTCAATCTCTCACCGTACGCAGTATACCATGCTCTCGCCATGCCATTATCTTGTCTACTCTACCGCCCTCTAACTAAAACATCCCCTAGCGAGCTACCAACTACCCACAAAGCGCTCACGTGCACATGGTTGCCTATGGTTAACGATTTTTTTTATTGAACTTTTTTTCTCAAATTCAATTTATTCAAATGTGATTTGGCGCCCCTGTTAATTAATTTCAGCGCGAACATTTGATTCAAATTCGGTTATCACAAGGCAAAAGGGCACGGTAACTCAATATGTACACCATACCACAGGCGAAACTCACTCTTTTGGCGGGAAGAATGTGGTTGCAACCTTTCTATAGAGAGGGGGGGGGAGTACTGTGGCGGCATAATAACACGTCGGTAAGAGAAAGATAAGTGGCCTCGTGATCCAGTGGTTAAGATACTCCCGGAAAGCATAGAGACGTGGGTTCGACTCCCACCGAGGCACAACATTTTCTCTGCTTACCTACATTACGTATATACCTTTATTTTAACTTATAAAGGATGTCATAAAAAAATTAAATTTACAAAATCAAGTGATTTTCGAGAAAGTGAACTCAAGGGTGATGGAAGTTCTGTCAAAATAGCTTTCGACCAATTTTTTTTTGTGGTTTTCGTATTTGTAACGCTTAGGATTCATATGGGTATAGAGTATAAATTTCCTCACATAACTAAAAATATGAAAAAAATGTGTTAAAAAATGTAGTAACGTGAGTTCTGCCCACAAGCCGCATAATGCCACCCTTTAAAACAGTATTATACCCTATGCACCCACAGCTTTCTTTATACTGTGTGTTCATTAATTGCTTAGATCAAAGAATGCTGTGCGATTTTGAACGTATGACTTCTCGATTTCGGATACTTTTCAGATTATGCAATTAAACAAACAGATGTGTATTGTCGGTTGCATACTGCCATATATCAATTTACAAACGAGGGTTAACTTTTGTTGAAAACTAGAAAAACTAGTGAAAGAAAATAACTTCTGCAGATTTGTGAATAAGTTTACTTAAAAGGAGAAAACAGAGTTAAATAAACTGTTGGAAATGGTATCCATTCTCCTGCATACATAAATTGACACGTCTTTTCATGTTATCAAACACATTTTGTAATTTAGCAAGAGTAATGCGAGCGCACTTTTCGGCAATTCTGTCTTTCAGTTTTTCTATGGTGTGGATGGGAGTTTAAAAAATAGTGTTTTTTAGATGACCGAACAAGAAGTAATTCAGAGGGGTTAAATCTGGTGACATTAGGGGGTACTCAGGAACTGAATGTTAACTTATCATTATCACCCTATCATCAAAAAATTCACATAAAAAATTCAAATTGTCTACTGTTGTATGTGGCATCGTCATGTTAAAAAAACCCGTCTTGGAGTTCAACATCCTGTTGTTTAGACATCTTTGTGCTGTTACAGTTTCCTCAAAGAATTTGGGTCCAATGATACGCATCATAGGTATACCAACGGGATGGAGTGGTGTTTCACGAAAGACATGTGGATTTTCAGCAGTCCAACATCTCATATTTTGAGAGTTAACATAACCTACAAAACAAAATTTCATAATTGTGATTTAAATTGACACAAATTCAATACCGGAGGAATGAAACCAAGCTTCATCAGAAAATAATGTTAAATCCAGCAAGTTATCATCATTGGGATGTTCAAAAAATCATCTGCAGTAGGCAATACGAATATTAAAATCAGCCTGCAAAATTTTTGTAAAACAGCACCACTGTAATAATGCATTCGCCTTCAATGGCAACTCCATTTCGGAAGTAGGACTCGGTCATGAATGTTTTATGTTCCACAGAAAAAACCATTTTGCACTTTTATTTTCAAAAAATTCGAAAGTTTGACGTTTCAAGCAACAACGCGGCTGAATGTATCAAAGAATGTGTTTTAATGCTACCCTAGTTTACCTTTGTCTTTAGATACAACTTTTAACTGGTTGTTTACTTCGTTGCAGGTAAGCAACATTTTCGATAATCTTGCCATAGGCAATAAAACAAAACCTGTGAAAATGACAGACAACATGTAAGATATTGCCAAAATTTTAACATTTTCGCATACCTACAAATGAAACGATTAAACAATATCATTAAATTTACTACCTATTATACTGACAACTAGAAACACTGAAAAGTAGTGCGGAGTTCGTCTCAAACTAGCATCTATTTCTAGAATACTAAAATGGATCAAGTATGCACCAAAAGAGAGTTGTCCCAGCGAATGCATTGGAGCCCATTCAAAACACATTTTAACGATACCTACAGAACGGAATCAGATTTTACATTGAAAAAAAAATAATAATAACAAGGTTAACCTCCAAGATTTTGAGACAATCCAAAAATGAACAGTGCGATTCCTAAATCAAAGAGAATTTTATCTATACTTCCATAGGCTGCATTAAACCATCGATTTGTGTACATAGTCGTAGTCATAAAATATGCAGATAGAAGAGGGGTTCCAAGAATTAGAAGTATAGTCAAGATCCGCCACAAATTTATATAAATCTGAAGCAATAATAATAATAATAATAATATAGACTCAACAATAAACGTTTTGGTAACTAACCTTAGCATATTTATGTTTTTCATATCGGATGTAGAGATAACCAAAACAAAGTCCAAACGCAAATGGTGCTAAATTGGAGTAAGTACTAGTCCATGTAGCCTGCCATTCTTTCAGAAATGTAATTTTAAAATAATGCGTCATCCTGTAGTGTTCATCTGAATTACGATTGATCGTTAGGTAATGTGGATTAAACTTACTCAGCAGTAACAATCATAGCAAATTTAAAATTGTTCATAGCTAAATAGACAAACATAAAAATTATTTGAAACGCAATCACAAATCCTGAAGTTAACAGTAGATATTTGGGTTGCTTTTGAGTTAACCATAGAAGAAAGAGTCCCAACACGGTTAACTGGAAGTCTACCGACAAATACCATGTGTGCATGAGGCACTGAAAATTGTTTGGCTTGTAATTTTACAAACGTGAATTTCAATTATAGGTTAATTACCGCTCCATCGCTAATCACAAAGTTGTTGATGTATAATAAATTTGTCCACCATTTTTTTCTACACACATTATATTCGGTTCCTAAAATTGGTTCGGCGTAGGGACCACGAAACAAATGATTTAACCAAGAAGTGTGCAAGATAATGACGGTTAGTCCCGACGTAAACCTATAAATATAAATGTCTCAAGGAATAAGCTTCCCATTTTGCATGCAAGCATTTACCTAATATATCTTTTTATTATAGATTGCAGAACATACCGGAATCTAATTTGACCATCATTTTTCAGTTTTTTAAAAAACTGGACGGATAACAGCCAAGAAGAAATCACGAAGAATATGGAAACTAACATTTTGCCTTGAGGAAAAAATAAATAGTATGTCTTTTCGATATCCTGAAACATACAGGTTATTAAATCAATAGATGCAATTTTTGTGATTAACTTTTTCCAGTTCATAAGGATTTAAGACTGGAGTCATCATACTAAATCCCATTACGTGGCCAGATATTATACAAAATGAGGTAATAAATCGCATTGCTTGTAAGAAAAGCATGTAATCCTGATTGTTGTGTTCGGTGGTGAAAATATAGTTCATGTTATCACAGAATGAAAATATTGCTAAAAATTTTTGGTCTGAAAAGGTGGTAGTTGATGTTCTGACCTTCGTTTTGTCACCTTTTGATTTGTTTTTATTTAGCTGAAGCCAAACTGATACGGACAATACAAAAAGAATATACAGTCCTGCAAGTACACTACAAAGAAATAAATCAGTGTGAGGTTTCCTGAACCAACTCACCTTATAACAACATCAGTCGATGTAGATTTATAATTGGAGTTTTGCATTTCACAACGAATGTAATTTACTTTTCCTACAAGTGCGTGATTTCTATATTTAGTCTCATAGTGGTTACTCAGACAGTTATATATTGTTCCATTATATTGTGAACACAGTGTAGAAGCACAAACTCCGTGTCGCAAAAGGTCGTGACGATATTTCCTATTGTCTGAGCTTACTTTCTACAAATTAAAATATGGAAACAAATATCTCACATTCCACTACTTAAAAAATACGTACCTGAATGGTATTCCAGGCCCTGTTTATAACTTCTGACATATTTCCACAATTTTCAGGAAGTAGTTGTACTATAAGTGAACAATACGTCGGATCCTTCTGACTACTGTAGTATAAACATTTATCATAATCATCAAGGTGGAAAAGATCTGGCATAAGATCGTAATCTAAAAAATTCTGAAAGGTTAGGAGAATATTGCCAATGGGGCCACGTAAAGTAAAATGCAATAGTATCAGCTGTGGTGTCTATAATATTGGTCCCAACTTTTTATGGAAACCCCTCGTATAAGTTCCATAACAACCTATTTAATTTACTAAGGTATTTCTTGTTTTCTGTATGACTTACCTGCAGTTGTTAATACAAAGAGAGAAAGTTGCAAAAGAAAAATTGTAACAAATTTTACACTCATTTTTCCTTCTTTTTTTATGTAACCACTATGATGTGCATTTTGCAGTAGAAATTATTTATAGAAACCTTGTAAAGTAAAATATCTTGATTAAAGTTAAACTGATGTTATTACTTACTTGCATAATTCGGGCACATTGCGTTGAAATTATGACGTGGGTGTAACACGATCAACCCTTCAACACTTTAGTTGGTATTAAAATTCCGACGTGAACAAATAAGAAAAGCCATCAAATTCAATGTGACCTTGCCTGTCTGACCTTATTAACCTGAAATTTGCATAACGTGTTGTTGTGACAATAATTAACTAATAAAAACTGCACAGCAAATACCTAAAACCTCGTTGTGCTACATTATTTAATAAAAAGATATGTAAACATCAATTAGTTTAAATATAATATTAGAATATGCAAAGTGCGTCGATACTTGATATCCCACATCACATAAAAAAATAAAAACCTATACAGGGTCAGAGCAGGGTGAGTATTATAACAACGGGACCCTGACCAATTTTCAATGCAACACAACATACAACTATCAGTTATCGGAGCTCAAAACTGACAAATAGAATTATTGCGAAAGTCAAAATTAACTACTAAGTAACTATGTTTGTACATTTTAGAAAAATAAAAGTTAAAAAGAGTTACACATGAGGTAAGTATTTTGTGTGGAGAAAATTTTGAGGGGATGTCATCACGTTGTTGATGGGGATGATTAGACAAATTTTGGTTAGCGTGTTACCATCTACGATATATTTCTAAAATATAATGTACATAAAATAAACACAAAATTTGACAACAAGTACTTTCGGAGATTATCTATCTAATAAAAATCCGGACAGACGGTCAGACAGATAGACGGAACCAGCAGACCTATTTCTTCGTAATGTAGGGGTCATTAAAGGTCGGGAAAATGTAAAAGTAGGGAGTCGGCCGACAGACTCGATTACAAAATAAAAAATTGAGAAAAAACCTACAAACCGATAGAAGAATGGCGAGATTGTGAATCGGAAGACGTCGGATAGCGTTGTAAACCGATATGTATATCTAAGTCTATATACATGAATATTTGAAAACAAAGACTATGTTGAATTCAAATCGCACCCATCCCGAATTTGTCCCTCTACACCCTTCTAAAAGCAGGGAGGAGGGGAGAGTAAGAACGGTTAGGTAAATAGATATCGTTCTTATCGAAAAAATAAATGTATAGTCTTATGGTACACCGAGACATCGAAGAATGTTTTCTCGAGCTTCCAGAATGCGAAAGAGCGGTCGTCCTAGTTGATGGTTTGAATAGATCCTTAAAAACTACTGACGTGGTTATCGTGAAACCAATCACACTGAAATTTCGATACATCTTTTGTGCAAGTAACAAAGAAAAATCTTTTTGCATTGTTAGAATCAACAGTTTTTGGTAATATTAAAGTTAAAAAGCTAAGATAAAATTTTGAATAGTTTTTGAAATATGACGTAATAAAAAACCAAAAAACGTAATTTTGAAATGATGAAAATTCAAGAAATAATTCGATTTGCTATGAAATTTTAATATATAAAGATCAAATTTTAACACGAAAAGAAGCGGAATGCAAAAACTATACGATAATTTGTGTAAGATTCATGTATCAACTTCTTCAGAAATCGGTATGTTTTTGAATAATTGACAACACCGTACCGCGAATTTTGGTAAGCCGCCAAATCAAAAACCAATCAAGAAAATGTAAATACTGAACATGCAAGACGGGACAACAACTGTCACTGTTGATAAACTGAAACATGATGTGTTTGGCATTGGCACATAGCAATCAATTCCTGTTCAACTTAGTCTTCCTCCTCTAAAAGTTCTAAAGAAAAGTCCGCGACAACATGTGTCTATCTTTTTAAGGTCGACTCAGCATAACTTTTTTTATGGTAATGAAATTTGTTCTAAAATAATAATGCATCTATATAAATAAAAATGAATCACCGAAATGTATGTACGCGCATAACTTCAGAACGACTGCACCGAATTGGATGATTCTTTTTTTATGTGTTCCTTATTGTCAGGACAAGGTTTACATGTAAGAAAATTTAGAAAAAAACGAACAGCTAAAAAATAAAAAAATTCTACAAATTTTGTATGGGAATCGCCACTTCGAATTAATTTGAATATTTGGCGTTCCTGACGGATCTGTCGTCTGACTGACGTGTCATACAAAACTATTTCTTCCGTGCGATTGTGAAAAGTATTATTGCATTTCAAATCGTTCTTTGTTTTTTCGTAAAAAAAACGTCGTTTATTTTGAGAAAAGTGTTCGTTAAAGTGAAATTAGTTACGCATTGCGAAAGTTTCGTATTAATTTTGATCTGCATTCTATTTACCTATATTCACTTTGTTGGTTTCGACCAAACCTCAAACTTTACCGTTATTCGAGGATTTAATTTGAAGTTATCAATATTTGAAAATTCTCAAGACAAAATTTACAGATTTGATTGACTGTGAAAATAATTCTGTGTCGTTTTGTGAAGTTCATTACAATGGCGAGAAGACGAAAAGCTGACATAGGTCCACGAAGTCAATCAAAAGTGCGACGAACCACCTCAGGTGCAAACCGCAATGATTTATTTCATGGGTAACTCGGATACGGAAGTTGATCAGCATTGTGCTCATAATCAACATAATCAAACATTGAAGCGAGACATTGGGTGGTATGAATAAAACTGAGTAGATACTCATATTCGAAGTACGAAGTACCTACTTTATTATTACTCTTATATACCTGAGCATCTACTCTATGTACTGAGTACCTACTTGGAAACATTGTATCTCCCCGGACACAAATTGAACATCTACGCGTTTTGTGAGCATTTAATCTAAAAATGAGAATCGGCGTGGCATAGCAAATGACTGAGCTGTCTGTAAAGCAGCTTAGAAAACGAGTAGGATCGTTGTAAGAGTGAATTTTGACTAAACATGACGACTTTCATGAACCTGGAACGTCGTCAAAAGGTGCATTCAGTTTGAAAAACACATTAGGAAAAAGAATATCGAAAACTTTTCAGGTAATTAACTTTTATTTATACATAAATTGTGCAGTGCGTTTTTTCTAACACTGGCCATAGAGATTCCCATCTCAAGGTGTCTACTCCATAGTAACTTATATTTTGGTGGCTCGATTTTTGCCTTGATGGTTGAACACTGTCACTGTTTTCCTTTTTTGTTGTATCGAGATGATACTTGAGTGTGGCGTCGTGCCGTTCTTCGAAGGACCGTAATGAATACTCGATTGTTTAAACACTTATATTTTAATACTTATATACATTGCAAGTGTGTATTAGAGGGCGTCGCGCCCGTACCGCCGTCGCGTTCGGTAGTTCTTGTCGTTCTTGAATGTTGTTGTCGAATGAATTCGGAAGAAACCGCCCTCCGTCCGGTGGGTGGTCTGGTGGGGTGCAGGACAGGACCGGGCTTGCCCGGCTGGTCTGAATCAGGCCCGTACAGAACATCCAGCCCCCCTTGAAACACCGTGTGATTCAACGTCTTCTTCCTCTGGTGGGAACGGGCAAATGCGGTTGACAGCTCTGGAAGCCTCACCGCTATTGGTTTTCACAATTACCGTACGCACGGTACCATCCTTCCCTGGGTAGACCTCCTTGATGACTCCCATTTTCCAACACAATGGGTGTAGGTTTTCCTCCTTGAGTAGGACCGGTAGGCCTGGTTTAGCCTGATTTGTGCACCGTTCCCTCCACTTCGATCTTTGCTGAAGAGTATTCAGGAATTCCTTACTCCAGCGTTTCCAGAAGTTCTGGGTGATTTGTTGTACACGCTGCCATCTTGATAATCGATTTTCCTTTGTCGTGGTTAGGTCGGCTTCTGCAGTTGTTGCTAATGTGTCCCCAATAAGGAAATGACCGGGAGTAAGGGGAGTAATGTCAACAGGGTCATGGGATAGTGGTGTCAAAGGTCTGGAATTGACGCAAGCCTCAATTTGTGTCAAAACCGTCAAAAGCTCCTCGTATGAAAGTAGTGCGTTACCTACAACTCTTTTCAAATAATATTTTACAGCCTTTCTAGGAATGGTTAACGAATTTAATAGATGTAATTGCTTTGAAAATTCGGGCCATTGTGTATATAGATCTTTAGGTAATGGATCGTCCCATTCAAGTTTATACGACCACATTTTTTGTATGATTGTTTTTGCGATTATAATAACAGGAGACAGTAATCCTAAAATATCATATATTCTGGCTATAGTAGAGAGCACCTGGCGTTTTGTAGCAGAATTAGTTGGTTGAGATTCAAGGGTGTATTTTAACAAATCATTTTCGTAATTCCACCATAACCCGAGCGTTTTGACTTCATTTTTAATATCTAGATTAATGTTTGAATCTTGAGACTCATTTCTCAATAAAGAATTGTTCACATTAGAGCACCACTTTTGTAACTCAAAGCCCCCAGCCTTTAGTGTTTGCGTTAGTTCTTGTTTTGCATGTGCAACTTCTGCAATTGTGTTGGCGCCAGATAACAAATCGTCCACATAAAAATCGCGTAAAATTATAGGACAAGCAGTGGGAGATTTGTCTTGCTCGTCTAAGGCTAATTTTTGTAAACACTTGGTGGCCAGATACGACGCGGATGCAGTACCGTAAGTTACAATCTTTAACTCATAGATTTCGACTGGTTTATTATTATCATCTCGCCACAAAATGCGTTGAAAAGGTGTATCTTTGGGGTCGACCCAGATTTGTCGATACATTTTAACAATGTCACAAGTAAAGGCAAATTGATGTGTACGAAATCGAGTAATAATTGAAAATAAACTTTGTTGGATAGTTGGTCCCACCATAAGAATGTTATTTAAGCTAATACCAGTACTCGTTTTGCTACTAGCGTTAAAAACTACTCGCACCCTCGTGGTTGAGCTTGATTCCTTTACGACAGCATGATGGGGTAAATAATATGAATATTGTTTATTGACATTAACATCAGACGAGTTTGTGATTAATTGCATATGGCCTAAATCAGTATATTCTTGCATGAACTTAATATAATCACTCTTTAGTTGAGGTTTGTTATTCAGCCGGTTTTCTAATGAATGGAACTGTTTTAGAGCAATGTTGTCAGAACGACCTAGATGAGAAACATCTGTTTTAAATGGTAATCTGACAACAAAGCGACCGGAAGGGTCTCTTCTAACCGTTTTGTAGAAATGCCTTTCAATGCTAATTCCTCAACTGACATAGTACTGATGTTCGTTACCTGCTCCTCCATTTCCCAAA